CCCACAGGTGAACCCCTCAGGTGAACCCCTCAGGTGAACCCCTCAGGTGAACCCCTCAGGTGAACCCCACAGGTGAACCCCTCAGGTGAACCCCTCAGGTGAACCCCACAGGTGAACCCCTCAGGTGAACCCCTCAGGTGAACCCCTCAGGTGAACCCCACAGGTGAACACAACGGGTGAACCCCACAGGTGAACCCCTCAGGTGAACCCCTCAGGTGAACCTCTCAGGTGAACCCCTCAGTTGAACCCCTCAGGTGAACTCCCCAGGTGAACCCCACAGGAGAACCCCTCAGGTGAACCCCACAGGTGTACCCCACAAAACCCCTCAGGTGAACCCCACACGTGAACCCCTCAGGTGAACCCCTCAGTTGAACCTCACAGGTGATCCCCTCTGGTGAACCCCTCAGGTGAACCCCTCAGGTGAACCCCTCAGATGAACCCCTCAGTTGAACCTCCCAGGTGAACCCCTCAGGTGAACCCCTCAAGTGAACCCCACAGGTGAACCCTCAGGTAAACCCCTCAGGTGAACCCCACAGGTGAACCCCTCAGGTGAACCCTCAGGTGAACCCCTCAGCTGAACCCCTCAGGTGAACCCCACAGGTGAACCCCTCAGGTGAACCCCTCAGGTGAACCCCTCAGGTGAACCCCACAGGTGAACACAACGGGTGAACCCCACAGGTGAACCCCTCAGGTGAACCCCTCAGGTGAACCCCTCAGGTGAACCCCTCAGTTGAACCCCTCAGGTGAACTCCCCAGGTGAACCCCACAGGAGAACCCCTCAGGTGAACCCCACAGGTGTACCCCACAGAACCCCTCAGGTGAACCCCACACGTGAACCCCTCAGGTGAACCCCACAGGTGAACTCCACAGGTGAACCCCACAGGTGAACCCCACAGGTGAACCCCACTGGTGAACCCCACATGTGAACCCCTCAGGTGAACCCCTCAGGTGAACCCCACAGGTGAACCCCACAGGTGAACCCCACAGGTGAACCCCTCAGGTGAACCTCACAGGGGAACCCCTCAGGTGAACCCCTCAGGTGAACCCCACAGGTGAACCCCTCAGGTGAACCCCTCAGGTGAACCCTCAGGTGAACCCCTCAGGTGAACCCCTCAGGTGAACCCCACAGGTGAACCCCTCAGGTGAACCCTCAGGTGAACCCCTCAGCTGAACCCCTCAGGTGAACCCCACAGGTGAACCCCTCAGGTGAACCCCTCAGGTGAACCCCTCAGGTGAACCCCACAGGTGAACACAACGGGTGAACCCCACAGGTGAACCCCTCAGGTGAACCCCTCAGGTGAACCCCTCAGGTGAACCCCTCAGTTGAACCCCTCAGGTGAACTCCCCAGGTGAACCCCACAGGAGAACCCCTCAGGTGAACCCCACAGGTGTACCCCACAGAACCCCTCAGGTGAACCCCACACGTGAACCCCTCAGGTGAACCCCACAGGTGAACTCCACAGGTGAACCCCACAGGTGAACCCCACAGGTGAACCCCACTGGTGAACCCCACATGTGAACCCCTCAGGTGAACCCCTCAGGTGAACCCCTCAGGTGAACCCCTCAGGTGAACCCCACAGGTGAACCCCACAGGTGAACCCCTCAGGTGAACCTCACAGGGGAACCCCTCAGGTGAACCCCTCAGGTGAACCCCACAGGTGAACCCCTCAGGTGAACCCCTCAGGTGAACCCTCAGGTGAACCCCTCAGGTGAACCCCTCAGGTGAACCCCACAGGTGAACCCCTCAGGTGAACCCTCAGGTGAACCCCTCAGCTGAACCCCTCAGGTGAACCCCACAGGTGAACCCCTCAGGTGAACCCCTCAGGTGAACCCCTCAGGTGAACCCCACAGGTGAACACAACGGGTGAACCCCACAGGTGAACCCCTCAGGTGAACCCCTCAGGTGAACCCCTCAGGTGAACCCCTCAGTTGAACCCCTCAGGTGAACTCCCCAGGTGAACCCCACAGGAGAACCCCTCAGGTGAACCCCACAGGTGTACCCCACAGAACCCCTCAGGTGAACCCCACACGTGAACCCCTCAGGTGAACCCCACAGGTGAACTCCACAGGTGAACCCCACAGGTGAACCCCACAGGTGAACCCCACTGGTGAACCCCACATGTGAACCCCTCAGGTGAACCCCTCAGGTGAACCCCTCAGCTGAACCCCTCAGGTGAACCCCTCAGGTGAACCCCTCAGGTGAATCCCTCAGGTGAACCCCTCAGGTGAACCTCACAGGGGAACCCCTCAGGTGAACCCCTCAGGTGAACCCCACAGGTGAACCCCTCAGGTGAACCCCTCAGGTGAACCCTCAGGTGAACCCCTCAGGTGAACCCCTCAGGTGAACCCCACATGTGAACCCCTCAGGTGAACCCCTCAGGTGAACCCCTCAGCTGAACCCCTCAGGTGAACCCCACAGGTGAACCCCTCAGGTGAACCCCTCAGGTGAACCCCTCAGGTGAACCCCACAGGTGAACACAACGGGTGAACCCCACAGGTGAACCCCTCAGGTGAACCCCTCAGGTGAACCCCTCAGGTGAACCCCTCAGTTGAACCCCTCAGGTGAACTCCCCAGGTGAACCCCACAGGAGAACCCCTCAGGTGAACCCCACAGGTGTACCCCACAGAACCCCTCAGGTGAACCCCACACGTGAACCCCTCAGGTGAACCCCACAGGTGAACTCCACAGGTGAACCCCACAGGTGAACCCCACAGGTGAACCCCACTGGTGAACCCCACATGTGAACCCCTCAGGTGAACCCCTCAGGTGAACCCCTCAGCTGAACCCCTCAGGTGAACCCCTCAGGTGAACCCCTCAGGTGAATCCCTCAGGTGGACCCCACAGGTGGACCCCACATGTGAACCCCACTGGTGAACCCCACATGTGAACCCCTCAGGTGAACCCCTCAGGTGAACCCCTCAGCTGAACCCCTCAGGTGAACCCCTCAGGTGAACCCCTCAGGTGAATCCCTCAGGTGAACCCCTCAGGTGAACCTCACAGGGGAACCCCTCAGGTGAACCCCTCAGGTGAACCCCACAGGTGAACCCCTCAGGTGAACCCCTCAGGTGAACCCTCAGGTGAACCCCTCAGGTGAACCCCTCAGGTGAACCCCACATGTGAACCCCTCAGGTGAACCCCTCAGGTGAACCCCTCAGCTGAACCCCTCAGGTGAACCCCACAGGTGAACCCCTCAGGTGAACCCCTCAGGTGAACCCCTCAGGTGAACCCCACAGGTGAACACAACGGGTGAACCCCACAGGTGAACCCCTCAGGTGAACCCCTCAGGTGAACCCCTCAGGTGAACCCCTCAGTTGAACCCCTCAGGTGAACTCCCCAGGTGAACCCCACAGGAGAACCCCTCAGGTGAACCCCACAGGTGTACCCCACAGAACCCCTCAGGTGAACCCCACACGTGAACCCCTCAGGTGAACCCCACAGGTGAACTCCACAGGTGAACCCCACAGGTGAACCCCACAGGTGAACCCCACTGGTGAACCCCACATGTGAACCCCTCAGGTGAACCCCTCAGGTGAACCCCTCAGCTGAACCCCTCAGGTGAACCCCTCAGGTGAACCCCTCAGGTGAACCCCACAGGTGAACCCTCAGGTGAACCCCTCAGGTGAACCCCTCAGGTGAACCCCTCAGGTGAACCCCACAGGTGAACCCCTCAGGTGAACCCCTCAGGTGAACCCTCAGGTGAACCCCTCAGGTGAACCCCTCAGGTGAACCCCACATGTGAACCCCTCAGGTGAACCCCTCAGGTGAACCCCTCAGCTGAACCCCTCAGGTGAACCCCACAGGTGAACCCCTCAGGTGAACCCCTCAGGTGAACCCCTCAGGTGAACCCCTCAGGTGAACCCCACAGGTGAACACAACGGGTGAACCCCACAGGTGAACCCCTCAGGTGAACCCCTCAGGTGAACCCCTCAGGTGAACCCCTCAGTTGAACCCCTCAGGTGAACTCCCCAGGTGAACCCCACAGGAGAACCCCTCAGGTGAACCCCACAGGTGTACCCCACAGAACCCCTCAGGTGAACCCCACACGTGAACCCCTCAGGTGAACCCCACAGGTGAACTCCACAGGTGAACCCCACAGGTGAACCCCACAGGTGAACCCCACTGGTGAACCCCACATGTGAACCCCTCAGGTGAACCCCTCAGGTGAACCCCTCAGCTGAACCCCTCAGGTGAACCCCTCAGGTGAACCCCTCAGGTGAATCCCTCAGGTGGACCCCACAGGTGGACCCCACATGTGAACCCCTCAGGTGAACCCCTCAGGTGAACCCCTCATGTGAACCCCTCAGGTGAACCCCTCAGGTGAACCCCTCAGGTGAAGCCAACAGGTGAACCCCTCAGGTGAACCCCTCAGGTGAACCCGTCAGGTGAACTCCTCAGGTGAACCCCTCAGGTGAACCCCTCAGGTGAACCCTACAGGTGAACCCCACAGGTGAACCCTCCAGGTGAACCCCTCAGGTGAACCCCTCAGGTACCCCATCCCACATTTACCATCCATGCGAGCCAGTGCGATGTGTGCTGCACTGTCGGATCATAGGTCCACAGTGTTTGTGTGCTGCTCTGATTCCATTCGTTCCCACCTCTCCTCCCCTTTCGTTTGTCCTCCTTCCTCCGCCCCTTTTTCTCCTCATTCGCTCCATCACTTCCCCCCAAGATCTCTCCCCCCCCCCCCCCCCGCTCTTCCCCCCCCCCGCCTTCAGAGCGGCCGGTTTGGGTCGCGAGACCGTCTCTTCACGGGGCTGCGCGAGTGTTGGGAGAGCGCGCGGCAACGCCACTCGCGTCCCCCACCTCCTCTCCCTCCCTGCCCACCCCTCCATGTCTCCCCTTCCCCCCCACACTCCTTCACGACAGGCGCTTTGACTCGCCAGACGTTCTATTAACAGGCTTGCACATGTTGTGGGAGAGCGTGCTGGCCAACACACAGCTCATCCTGCGCCTCTTCCTCCCCCTCCCCCTACCCTCTTCCTGTGCCTCTCCCTGTCAGAACGGCCGCTTGGACTCGCCGGACCGCCTGTTCACGGGGCTGCAGGAATCGTGGGAGAGCGTGCTGGGCAACGCCACGGACGTCAAGGAGCTCATCCCGCACTTCTTCTCCCTCCCCGCGCACTTCCTCCGCCTCCCGTCAGCCCGCCTTCTTCTCCGCCGATTTTTGTCCTTTTGTATTTGTCTTTTTGTTTCGCTTTCGGGTTTTATTTTCTTTTTAGCGCACCGCTTGTCAACGATTAACCTCTCAGCACCCTTCGTTTCTCCTTGTGCCCTCTTCACTTCTGATTAGTGCCCTCTTCACTTCTGATTAGTGCCTGCTCATTCATTCACTTCACTTCCTTTCACGCCTACCCTTCTTTCCCTCCAGCACCCTGCAAATATCACCCTCACCGCTTCACTCCCCCTCTTTCTCTCCCGCATCACCCTCAGTTCGGACCTCAATCTTGGCACGCGCCAAAACGGAGTTCCTATCGGCGATGTGGAGCTGCCGCCCTGGTGGGTGTGGTTGAGTATGTGGGTGAGCGGCATTTCATTTCACGCCATGGTAGGTTGTGCACTGCATCAGCACATCGTGACACGCAGACAAGCGCTCGGTGCAGGAAGATTACTAAATGCTCATCGTGCGTGAGATACCTGAGCCAGGCTGTTCCGCCCAGCATCTGATGGATTCTACTTTTTCCCAGGCGCACTTTCTTGATTGTGTCTTTGCCGTGTCCTTGTTTGCAATTGCACCTTCACAAAAAATTCTCTGCTCTCCTGGCTGAAGAATCTAAACCACCTCTCTTCTGTGTCCTCTCTACCCACACACCTCAACCACCCCCCACGGCCCTCATTCCTCTTCATTCTCTCCACCACTCTCCACCACTCTCCACCACTGCCCATCCACCCACCCTTTGCTGACAGGGCAAAGGACGCAGAGGATTTCATTCTGAAGCACGTGCAGGCACTGGAGTCAGAGTGGGTGTCGGCGAATCTGCACCATTGGATTGACCTGATCTTCGGATACAAGCAACGGGGCAAGGTGCTGCTGCTACTGTTCTCTCTCTTTATTGAGCCACGTCGTATGCTGTTTGGCTATCATTCACTGTGAATCATCGTACTCACATATGCACGTGCTTGGAGTTGGCAACGCTGAGGTGTATGCTTCTGTTGTGGAACTGTCACTCACTTTGATTAGTGGCACATTTTTAACCTCACCCTTGTTGCTAAATCAACCTTCTTCCTAATACTACCTCATCTCTTCACCTCTCAACTTTCTCACTCTGTTCACCTCCAAACTTTCTCACTCTGTTCACCTCCAAACTTTCTCACTCTGTTCACCTCCAAACTTTCTCACTCTGTTCACTCTACAATTTCCTGACTCACCTCCCAACCTCTACCCACACCACAGGCAGCGGAGGAGGCGGACAATGTGTTTCACCCGCTGACGTACGAGGGGGCAGTGGACCTGGACTCGCTCAGCAGCTTCGTGGAGAGGAGGGGCTTCGAAACACAGGTGTGCAGCCTCTGAGGTGTGCAACCTCTGAGGTGTGCAACCTCTGAGGTGTGCAACCTCTGAGGTGTGCAACCTCTGAGGTGTGCAACCTCTGAGGTGTGCAACCTCTGAGGTGGGCAACCTCTGAGGTGTGCAACCTCTGAGGTGTGCAACCTCTGAGGTGTGCAACCTCTGAGGTGTGCAACCTCTGAGGTGTGCAACCTCTGAGGTGTGCAACCTCTGAGGTGTGCAACCTCTGAGGTGTGCAACCTCTGAGGTGTGCAACCTCTGAGGTGTGCAACCTCTGAGGTGTGCAACCTCTGAGGTGTGCAACCTCTGAGGTGTGCAACCTCTGAGGTGTGCAACCTCTGAGGTGTGCAACCTCTGAGGTGTGCAACCTCTGAGGTGTGCAACCTCTGAGGTGTGCAACCTCTGAGGTGTGCAACCTCTGAGGTGTGCAACCTCTGAGGTGTGCAACCTCTGAGGTGTGCAACCTCTGAGGTGTGCAACCTCTGAGGTGTGCAACCTCTGAGGTGTGCAACCTCTGAGGTGTGCAACCTCTGAGGTGTGCAACCTCTGAGGTGTGCAACCTCTGAGGTGTGCAACCTCTGAGGTGTGCAACCTCTGAGGTGTGCAACCTCTGAGGTGTGCAGCCTCTGAGGTGTGCAACCTCTGAGGTGTGCAGCCTCTGAGTCTGAGGCGAGTCGAAAGAAGAAATGGCACGTGGTTTGGAACAACAGGTGTTTTAAGTGCAAAGCCATTCAAATGCACCCACACCTGTCTGCCAGCTCCTGCTGTCTGCATTCCTTCTGTCTGCATTCCTTCCTCACTCGCCACTCCCAACCATGCAATTCAACCTCCTACTCCCATCCCCCCTCTCCCCTTTCCTCTATCTGACTGCCATGATCAGATCAACGAATTTGGGCAGACACCTCGCCAGCTGTTCCTGCATCCCCATCCCCAGCGCCGCCCACACTCCTCACCCGTCCTTCCATCACCCACCTCTCATCTCTCCTCCACTGCTGTTGACCTCCTCATGCGCCTCCTGGCGCTCCTGCCCACTGCTGCTGCTGCTGCCCCTGCCCCTGCCCCTACCCCTGCCACTGCTGCTGCTGCTCCTGCTCCCGCACCTTCTGCTGCTGCTACTGCTTCTGGTGCTGTTGCTGGTAGTGGCGCTGCCGCTCGGGCTACTGGTGCCACTATTGCTGCTGGTGGGACGGAGGCGACTGATGCCACAAGTGGTACGGGTGGCACTGCTGCTGGTCCGGCCACTGGTGGAGCTGACGCTGCTGGTGGAGGTAGTGGTCGCACGGATCCTGTTGCCGTCACTGATGGTATGACTGACGCCCATGCAGTCGCAGCAGCAGCAGCAGCAGCAGCAGGAACAGTTAGCATTAGTCACAGCAAGGGCCGGAATGTGGAATCTGCAGCATTCATGCCAGCAGCACCTCAAGCAGCAGGAGAGGAACCAGCAGCACCGGCAGCACCGGATGCTGCAGTGCCAGGAGCAGGTGTGAGATTGGAGCCAATGGAGGAAGAAGCCTCACTAGCAGCACCACCAGCAGCCACTGGCCCTCCTGGTCCAACTAATTCGGATACAACGAGTGCAGAACGCCACAGCGCCGCGACGCACAGCACAGCGGAGGACAGAGGCGCGAGTGGAGGTGCAGGCGCTGTCACAGGTGGCATGGGACCGGGAAGGGAAGGCAGTATGGAGCCGGAGGATGCAAGCGGGAGGCTGAAGGCGCTACAGGGGGCTGTGGGGCTGGGCAGCTTCAACGCCAGGCGAGCGGGCCAGGGGAGGGCTGCTGCACGTGCTGTGGGAGCCGCAGTTGCTGCTGTGGGAGCAGGTTCCATGCCCGAGCTGGCAAGGGGGGCAGCGTTGAGGGAAGGCGAGGAGATGGCGGCGCTGAGGGAGTGGCTGGACGAGGCTGGCGCGGGGCGAGGTGGGGACGAGGAGGACGCGGCCTGCTCTCCGCCCTTCTCCCCAACTGCCCCCTTCCCTGCCTTCGAATCCTCTGCTCTGGACCTCGGCACTGGCATGAGCACCGCAAGCGATGGGAGCAGCGAGACGAGCAGCAGTGGGGGGGGAAGCATAGGGAGCAGCAGAACGAGTAACGGGGCAGGCAGTGCAGTGAGCAGCAGGGCGAGTAGCAAAACAAGTAGCCAAGCGGGCGATAGAAGCAGCAGTGAGGGAAGAAGTGGCAGGAGGGCGAGAGTTAGGCGGGTGAAGGCGCATCGGGGGCCAGTGGTAGCGGTGGCGCTGTCCGAGCATGCAGAGTCACGGGGTATGCTGCTCACCACGGCAGGCGCTGATGGCATGGTGAAGGTGAGGGGGGCTTCATGACATGGTGTGGGTGTGGGGGGGTGGGTGGTTGGGGTCAACCCAGGGAATGTTTCTCCGTGAACCCCTAGTGATCCTATTCTTAATCTGTTCCTTCACTTTGCATCCATCTCTTCTCATTGCTGTTGCGTTTCAACCCTTGAAGTTCTTCAAGTCTTCCCTTTTCTCTGTGTTCCTCCTGTCCCCTCTCCCTCCCATCCCTCTCGCTCCCATCCCTCCCCCACCCATCCCTCTCCCTTCTACCTCTTCCTCCCGCATCCCCACTTGGCCTTTCTCTCTGCCAATCAGGTCTTCTCAGTGGAGTCGCAGCAGCAGCTGAGGTCAGCGCGCGTTGGCAGCCTCCCATTGGCCAGCATGGCGCTGCTGCCCCCCCCCCCTCCCACTGCTACCCAGTTGAGATTCCACTGCCACCCACTGAGACTGCATCCCTCGTTCCTCCTTTTGAATGTGCACGTTGGTATGTATCTACCCAACCCATATCAACCCAACCCTTTCCCCTGTGAGAGCACACCTCTCACCCTCCAGTTTCCTGTTGCCCCTTTCACTTTTCCACGCACCAGTCTGTCCTCGTGGGCTCCTCTGACGACCATGTGTGGCTCTACTCACCCGACTTCGGCCGATGCCTCTCCAAGGTGCACCCTCCACCCTCACGCTTCCAAGGTACACCTTCCACACCCTTTGTTGAGAGTTCGTTCCTGGAAGTGTCCGTCGTTTAGGGGCTTCATGTGCCATCTGCAAACCGCCAGAGTCTCTCGTTTGTCCACGTTTCACAAATTGTATCCTCCGCTCTTGGTTTGATCGTTGAACTGTCCTTGTTGTGTTATTTGCAGCACAGCCTTCCCTTCCCTGCTCGATGGGCCGTTCTTTGCTCTGCTCCCTCCCTCTGTCTCCCCTGCCACACTCTCTGCTGGCCCCACCATGCCGCCAGCTGCATACATACGATGGCACGGCGCCATGTCTGCAGGGAAACAAGAGAGCTGCCTTCTCTCTCCCCACTCTTTTTCTTCTCCCCTGTCCCTTTCCCGTCCCTTCCTTCCTTCCTCGTCCTCTCCTCTCCTTTCCTCCCCTTTCCTCCCCTTTCCTCCCCTTTCCTCCCCTTTCCTCTCCTTTCCTCCCCTTTCCTCCCCTTTCCTCCCCTTTCCTCCCCTTTCCTCCCCTTTCCTCCCCTTTCCTCCCCTTTCTTCTCCTTTCCTCTCCCTTCCTCTCCTTTCCTCCCCTTTCCTCTCCTTTCCTCTCCTTTCCTCCCCTTTCCTCTCCTTTCCTCCCCTTTCCTCCCCTTTCCTCTCCTTTCCTCCCTTTTCCTCCCCTTTCCTCCCTTTCCTCCCCTTTCCTCTCCTTTCCTCCCCTTTCCTCTCCTTTCCTCCCCTTTCCTCTCCTTTCCTCCCCTTTCCTCTCCTTTCCTCCCCTTTCCTCCCCTTTCCTCTCCTTTCCTCCCCTTTCCTCCCCTTTTCTCCCCTTTCCTCCCCTTTCCTCCCCTTCCCTCCCCTTTCCTCCCCTTTCCTCCCCTTTCCTCCCCTTTCCTCCCCTTTCTTCTCCTTTCCTCTCCTTTCCTCCCTTTTCCTCCCCTTTCCTCTCCTTTCCTCTCCTTTCCTCTCCTTTCCTCCCCTTTCCTCTCCTTTCCTCTCCTTTCCTCCCCTTTCCTCTCCTTTCATCCCCTTTCCTCCCCTTTCCTCTCCTTTCCTCCCCTTTCCTCCCCTTTCCTCCCCTTTCCTCCCCTTTCCTCCCCTTTCCTCCCCTTTCCTCCCCTTTCTTCTCCTTTCCTCTCCCTTCCTCTCCTTTCCTCCCCTTTCCTCTCCTTTCCTCTCCTTTCCTCCCCTTTCCTCTCCTTTCCTCCCCTTTCCTCCCCTTTCCTCTCCTTTCCTCCCTTTTCCTCCCCTTTCCTCCCCTTTCCTCCCCTTTCCTCTCCTTTCCTCCCCTTTCCTCTCCTTTCCTCCCCTTTCCTCTCCTTTCCTCCCCTTTCCTCCCCTTTCCTCCCCTTTCCTCCCCTTTCCTCCCCTTTCCTCCCTTTTCCTCCCCTTTCCTCCCCTTTCCTCCCCTTTCCTCTCCTTTCCTCCCCTTTCCTCTCCTTTCCTCCCCTTTCCTCTCCTTTCCTCCCCTTTCCTCTCCTTTCCTCCCCTTTCCTCCCCTTTCCTCTCCTTTCCTCCCCTTTCCTCCCCTTTTCTCCCCTTTCCTCCCCTTTCCTCCCCTTTCCTCCCCTTTCCTCCCCTTTCCTCCCCTTTCCTCCCCTTTCCTCCCCTTTCTTCTCCTTTCCTCTCCTTTCCTCCCTTTTCCTCCCCTTTCCTCTCCTTTCCTCCCCTTTCCTCTCCTTTCCTCCCCTTTCCTCTCCTTTCCTCCCCTTTCCTCCCCTTTCCTCTCCTTTCCTCCCCTTTCCTCCCCTTTCCTCCCCTTTCCTCCCCTTTCCTCTCCTTTCCTCCCCTTTCCTCTCCTTTCCTCCCCTTTCCTCCCCTTTTCTCCCCTTTCCTCCCCTTTCCTCCCCTTTCCTCCCCTTTCCTCCCCTTTCCTCCCCTTTCCTCCCCTTTCCTCCCCTTTCTTCTCCTTTCCTCTCCTTTCCTCCCTTTTTCTCCCCTTTCCTCTCCTTTCCTCTCCTTTCCTCTCCTTTCCTCCCCTTTCCTCTCCTTTCCTCTCCTTTCCTCCCCTTTCCTCTCCTTTCCTCCCCTTTCCTCCCCTTTCCTCTCCTTTCCTCCCTTTTCCTCCCCTTTCCTCGCCTTTCCTCCCCTTTCCTCTCCTTTCCTCCCCTTTACTCTCCTTTCCTCCCCTTTCCTCCCCTTTCCTCTCCTTTCCTCCCCTTTCCTCTCCTTTCCTCCCCTTTCCTCTCCTTTCCTCCCCTTTCCTCTCCTTTCCTCCCTTTTCCTCCCCTTTCCTCTCCTTTCCTCTCCTTTCCTCTCCTTTCCTCCCCTTTCCTCTCCTTTCCTCTCCTTTCCTCTCCTTTCCTCCCCTTTCCTCTCCTTTCATCCCCTTTCCTCCCCTTTCCTCTCCTTTCCTCCCCTTTCCTCCCCTTTCCTCCCCTTTCCTCCCCTTTCCTCCCCTTTCCTCCCCTTTCCTCCCCTTTCCTCCCCTTTCCTCCCCTTTCTTCTCCTTTCCTCTCCCTTCCTCTCCTTTCCTCCCCTTTCCTCTCCTTTCCTCTCCTTTCCTCCCCTTTCCTCTCCTTTCCTCCCCTTTCCTCCCCTTTCCTCTCCTTTCCTCCCTTTTCCTCCCCTTTCCTCCCCTTTCCTCCCCTTTCCTCTCCTTTCCTCCCCTTTCCTCTCCTTTCCTCCCCTTTCCTCTCCTTTCCTCCCCTTTCCTCTCCTTTCCTCCCCTTTCCTCCCCTTTCCTCTCCTTTCCTCCCCTTTCCTCCCCTTTTCTCCCCTTTCCTCCCCTTTCCTCCCCTTTCCTCCCCTTTCCTCCCCTTTCCTCCCCTTTCCTCCCCTTTCCTCCCCTTTCTTCTCCTTTCCTCTCCTTTCCTCCCTTTTCCTCCCCTTTCCTCTCCTTTCCTCTCCTTTCCTCTCCTTTCCTCCCCTTTCCTCTCCTTTCCTCTCCTTTCCTCCCCTTTCCTCTCCTTTCATCCCCTTTCCTCCCCTTTCCTCTCCTTTCCTCCCTTTTCCTCCCCTTTCCTCGCCTTTCCTCCCCTTTCCTCTCCTTTCTTCCCCTTTCCTCTCCTTTCCTCCCCTTTCCTCTCCTTTCCTCCCCTTTCCTCTCCTTTCCTCCCCTTTCCTCCCCTTTTCTCCCCTTTCCTCCCCTTTCCTCCCCTTTCCTCCCCTTTCCTCCCCTTTCCTCCCCTTTCCTCCCCTTTCCTCCCCTTTCCTCCCCTTTCTTCTCCTTTCCTCTCCTTTCCTCCCTTTTCCTCCCCTTTCCTCTCCTTTCCTCTCCTTTCCTCTCCTTTCCTCCCCTTTCCTCTCCTTTCCTCTCCTTTCCTCCCCTTTCCTCTCCTTTCCTCCCCTTTCCTCCCCTTTCCTCTCCTTTCCTCCCTTTTCCTCCCCTTTCCTCGCCTTTCCTCCCCTTTCCTCTCCTTTCCTCCCCTTTACTCTCCTTTCCTCCCCTTTCCTCTCCTTTCCTCCCCTTTCCTCTCCTTTCCTCCCCTTTCCTCCCCTTTCCTCTCCTTTCCTCCCCTTTCCTCCCCTTTCCTCCCCTTTCCTCCCCTTTCCTCTCCTTTCCTCCCCTTTCCTCCCCTTTTCTCCCCTTTCCTCCCCTTTCCTCCCCTTTCCTCCCCTTTCCTCCCCTTTCCTCCCCTTTCCTCCCCTTTCCTCCCCTTTCTTCTCCTTTCCTCTCCTTTCCTCCCTTTTCCTCCCCTTTCCTCTCCTTTCCTCTCCTTTCCTCTCCTTTCCTCCCCTTTCCTCTCCTTTCCTCTCCTTTCCTCCCCTTTCCTCTCCTTTCATCCCCTTTCCTCCCCTTTCCTCTCCTTTCCTCCCTTTTCCTCCCCTTTCCTCGCCTTTCCTCCCCTTTCCTCTCCTTTCTTCCCCTTTCCTCTCCTTTCCTCCCCTTTCCTCTCCTTTCCTCCCCTTTCCTCTCCTTTCCTCCCCTTTCCTCCCCTTTTCTCCCCTTTCCTCCCCTTTCCTCCCCTTTCCTCCCCTTTCCTCCCCTTTCCTCCCCTTTCCTCCCCTTTCCTCCCCTTTCTTCTCCTTTCCTCTCCTTTCCTCCCTTTTCCTCCCCTTTCCTCTCCTTTCCTCTCCTTTCCTCTCCTTTCCTCCCCTTTCCTCTCCTTTCCTCTCCTTTCCTCCCCTTTCCTCTCCTTTCCTCCCCTTTCCTCCCCTTTCCTCTCCTTTCCTCCCTTTTCCTCCCCTTTCCTCGCCTTTCCTCCCCTTTCCTCTCCTTTCCTCCCCTTTACTCTCCTTTCCTCCCCTTTCCTCTCCTTTCCTCCCCTTTCCTCTCCTTTCCTCCCCTTTCCTCCCCTTTCCTCTCCTTTCCTCCCCTTTCCTCCCCTTTCCTCCCCTTTCCTCCCCTTTCCTCTCCTTTCCTCCCCTTTCCTCTCCTTTCCTCCCCTTTCTTCTCCTTTCTGCCGCCAGCTGCACGCACACGATGACACGGTGTCATGTGTGCAGGTGAGCCAGTGGGGCGGCGACACGTGTCTGTTCACGGCGTCGTGGGACTGCACGGTGAAGCAGTGGACCATGTCCCGCTCGCCCTTCCTCTCCGCCTCGCCCTTCGCCTCCTTCTCCTCCTCCTCCACCCACTCCTATGGCGGCTTCCACACAACAGGTCAGACTATGCATGGACCTCCCCCTTTTTGATTTTACTCATAAACAGGTGAAATTACGCATGGTTCTTGGCCCCTTCTCCTCCTCCTTTTCCTCCTTGCGCACCTGCTCTATGTTCCAACTATGAAGGGGTGTTTGGCTCCCACAAAAAACCCATCCATGCTTTCCCCACCCTCTCCTGTTTCGGTGCTCCAGCCGCTCTGTCCTCTTTTGCTCACTCTGAAAGGTCTCTTTTTCAACAAAACAGGTGTCTTTTTCTTTTTTTGGGAGCATCTGGCTCCCTCTCCCTCATCAGTCCATCCACCCCTCCTCTAGCGGAGATTCATCAGCATTTCGCCCGTCCCCCTGTCTATCCTCTTACCACCCTCCCTCTCCCATCCCTCCCCACCAGTCCACGCACCTCCTCGAGCAGTGCTCCATCCGCCTCTCTTTGCTCCCTCTGTCCCCTCTCCCTTTGACCCTCTCTTCTGTCCCTTCTCGCTCTCCCTCTCTCCCCATCTCCCCTCCTCTCTTCCCATCAGTCCACCCCCCTCCACTAGCGGAGCTCAATCAGCACGATGCACCAATCACAACGCTCCAAGTGGCCATCCCTGCCACGTCAGCATGGCCCCTTGCTGCCTCGGGATCAGCCAATGGTGAGAGGCTGACAGCCCAGCTAGGGGGCGATGTGCTGGCCTTATCTTGTGCTCTTGCTCTCTGCTGACACGCGTGCCGCTTCGGAAGCAGTGTAAGTGTGCTGTACAGTGACACCCGTGAGTGAGGCCCCAGGGATCCACTCCTCCGGCCCTGGTCCCCTCATCCCCTCAACCACTCTCTTTCAAGACACGCCTCAAAAGTCTCTCCGCCTCCATTATCCCTAACCCCCACGCCCTGTCCCCTCCCCCTTCACTCCCTCCCCTTTCCTCCCAAGGCTCTGTGCTGTTGTGGGACATGCGAGCACCGCCCTCTGCGTCTGTCCCCTGGAGGGGTCTCCTCTCGCCCCTCACCGGGCCGACAACTTCACTGGCGGTGACTGGGCTGGTGTTTTCATATGGCGGGCTGCACCTGACCGCTGCTGACTCCACAGGGGGGCTGAGAGTGTTGGAGGTGAGTCTCTGGGATGGTGGCGCACACATTGCAGAATTGCTTCGCTACTCAGCCTGCCAGTGCCACGCCTCTAGTGGTGCCAGGGCTGGTGTTCTCTCATGTGGGCTGCACCCCACCTTGCCACTGCTGCACCTCGCCACTGCTGCGCAGAATCCATGTATTTTATGCTCACTAATACCATACTCATCCCTCCGCACCACCTCAGATGCGCATGGGCGGCGCTGAGCTGGCATCTCAACAATGTCCAGGTGGCGGCCTCACGTGCTGCCAGCCTCTCGGTGACCAGTCCGTCCTCGCTGGCAGGTGAGGAAGTAGAAACTGCTCTGTTTGTTATGATGCCCTAGAGCTCATTCCGGGCGTTCGAGTTGTCACATGACTCTAGCCTACCCACTGGCATGTGCCGCAAGCCTCCTGATGCCCCCATCCTCGTCGTAAAATGAGAAGGCACAGATGACGACGCACAATATCTGGTGTTTGAGTTTTTTTTCGTTCCTTCCTTCCGTCCTTTGTCCTGATCTTATGATATGCATCCGCCCTTTACTGGAGCTGTCAACACTCACAGTGCGGGATCTATCACACAAGTTCCGAGCCAATCCATCCTCATCAGCGAATCGCCCTCTCCCCGTCTTTCTCCCCCAGCGATTCGCCTTATCCCCTTCTCCGCTTCCTCAGTGAATCGGGTCACTCTTCGCAAGGACATGAGCCTCTGGATTGTCCCATCTTCCTTCCAACGCCCCTCAAAGTACCATACCCCACCTCCCACGTCCCCCCCCCCCCTCCCTTTCCCCTCCACATCAGTGACTGGGGCCATATCTTCGCATGGTCGTGGGCATCGGGGCTGGAGCCGCCCCAGCCTCTCTCCAATGGCGCCATGCAGAATCACGGTGCAAGGGGCTATGGAGGGTGCTATGGGATTCTGGCAGCACAGCAGCATACTGTACAGTCTTCATCAAAGAGAGCTGAGGGCTTGAGCTTCTTTTCTGTGCCGGTCAGCTCTTCAGGCGTATCTTCGCTTGTTGCTGCACAAAGTGCGAAGGGCTCCAGAACGATGGTTGCAGGTTGTAAAGATGGGGCTGCAGCCTTGATAATCTGACTAGATGCCAGCAGACAGGGCGCCGAAACAAGTTGGTTCTGGGTATGGTGCGTTGCCATGCATGGTCCACTGATGATATGGGTGAGAATCTCCATCCCCGAGAGGTTTCTGTTAGGGTGGATACCGCACGCACGCTATGAGCGGTTGTGAAGGTTTCCGCAAGTTGTGGATGTTTGAGATCGACATTGCGCTTTTCCCTTGGCAGCTGCAACGTGGTTATCCATCGATCAGAATGCAGTGTTACCATCAGACAAGCAACACCCCAGGCATCAAGAGGTCAATACGTATGCCAAACTGTCTAGGCTCGTGTAACTAACCAACAACCATCTGTGCTTGTGGAACTCGGCAGTGCCCTTCTTGTCAACTTATACATTCGCTGTGCATGTATAGTTATAGGCTAGACAGGTTCGTGCTCCTAGAGAGTACAATCCAAACCCTTACATCACCCTGTATGTTCATGCTAGAGTTCACCTAGTCATTCTGACATGGTATCCTGCTAGGTAGGTCCCAACCACCCGCGCTTCCGCCCTAGCTTACCGTCGATCGCCCCGCCCGTTATTGCGTCCCGCCTGTAGCGCACTCCTGCCCTAGCTCGTTGCGTCTGCCCTATCCGGCCGCGCTGGCCACTAGCTCGCAGCGCTGGCCCTAGCTCGCCGCGCTGACCCTCTCCTCGCCGCGTCGCCCCCACCCGCTGCGCTGCGCTGGCCCCTAGCTCGCCGCGCTGGCTCCTAGCCCGCCGCGCTGGCCCCTAGCCCGCTGCGCTGCACTGGCCCTAGCCCGCTGCGCAGGCCCCTGCTTGCCTTGTCGGCCCTAGCTCGCCGCCGGCCCCTCCTTGCCACGCCGGCTGCTCCTCGCCGCGTTGGCGCCAGCTCGCCGCCATCCCAGCCTGCCGCGTCGGCCCCAGCTCGCCGCGCCGGACCCACCTCCCCTCGTCGGCCCCAGCTCGTCGCGTCGGCCCCAGCTCGTCGCGCTGGCCCCAGCTCGTCGCACCGCCTCAGCTCGACCCGTCGGCTCCAGCTCACCACACCACCCCAGCTCGCCACGTCAGCGCCAGCTCGCCGCGTCAGACCCACCTCGTCGCGTCGGCCCTAGCTTGCCGCGCCGGCTCCAGCTTGCTGCGTCGGCCCCGGCCCGCCGCGCCAACCCCAGCTCGCCGCCCCGGCCTCTACTCGCTGCGCCGGCCCCTGCTTGCTACCGGCCCCAGCTCGCCGCCGGTCCTGGTTTCTCCTCTGTCCCGGTGCCCTCGCCGGCTGTCTCCTCTACCGCACTCCACCGCACTTCACCCCTCTCCACCGCTCCCAACTGCACTCCACCGCTCTCCACTGCTCTCCACCGCACTCCATCGCACTCGCCTGCTCCCTGCTCCTCCTCGTGCGCTCTACAGCTGCTGCAGCTGTGCATGATGGCGGACGCCGTTCTCTGCCTGGACGCAGAGGGTTTTGCAGTGGATTTCGAAGCGTGGCTCGCCGACCTGCACTGCCAGCTCAATGGTCAGCGCAAGGATGGTCAGTCTCTAGCCATCCATGTCAACTGTAAGCTGCTCTGCCCCCCTGTGCCTGCTGCCCTTGCTGACGCCCCCACGCTTGCTGAGCGTGAGGCTTTTACAGCTGCTGAGCTCGCCCAATCTGCCAGGGAGTCGCATGACGCCAATGCGCAGCTAGCTATCAGTCACGCTCTCCCCCTGTCCGAGCGTCCCTGCATTCAAGCCATAAAGAATGGGAAGGAGTACCTAGATGCAATCATTGCTCGCTATTCCACTCCCTCCTCCGCCTCTACAGGCCGTCTCCTCCTGCCCCTGCTCTTCTCTGATCTTGCGCCCTTCCCTACTGTCACTAGCACTGAGGCTCAGCTCACTCTACTTCTTCCCCCCCTCGGCGCTACACTTTTTTTCTTAGCCACGCGCCTCCTCGACCGCCTAGCCATTGCCCACGACACCTTCCTTAGCCTCCACCCCGCTAACCTCACCCTTGCCGTCTTTGTCACCACCCTGCCGGCGATAGAGACCCGCCAGCGCACTATTGCTCAGTCTAGCGGTACTGCGGCGGTCCCTAACTTCTAGGGTTGTGCTCCCTCCCATTGCACTTACTCTGACGTTTCCACTGCTGTCGCCGAGACCGCCGCAGCGGCCTCGGTGAAACCTCGTCAGGGTAGAGCCCCCCGACGCCCCAGAGGGGGGCATAAGGGAGGGAAGGGTGCTGGGGGTGGCGGGGGTGGTGGGGGACATGGAGGTGGCGGGAGCGTTGGGAGTGCAACGAGGGGGTGGGGACTGACGCCCCAGACCAGCAGCAGGAACAGCAGCAGCCAAGGCAGCAGCAGCAGTGGGGCCCCCTACCGCTTTGGTGGTCAGGCGGGTTCGATGGTGGTGGTCGCGGAGACGGCCCTCACAGCTCAACGTTGGGTGGCGGCTCCAGTTCGGTGAATTGCCAGTACGAGCTTCAGACTGGTCCCCTTCGTGGCACCATGTGTGGCCGTCCCAGTCACACCGCCCGTTGCTACTGCTGCCTCGACAACCTTTTCTGTCTCCGCTTCGGGCCTGCGTCGGACCTCCCGAATAGGCACAGCCAGATACGCCATCCTGTGACAGTCTTTGAGATGGATATGGATCAAATCCACTCTACTTTGTATGCCATGTATGCTGATGACTCTAGTGTTACTGGACCCTATTACCCTGTGTTGTCTAGCCTAGGTGTGTCTCCTGTGTATAGTCTAGGCTCCCCTGCAGCGTCAGGCATAGGACCCCTTGAATTATTTAGCCTTGGCTCCACACTAGTGCCCCCGCCGGCTGACGCTACAGCCACGCTCTCCTTCACCCTGGACTCTGGTGTGTCCGCCTACTTCTTTCGTGACAATACCGCTCTCTCGCCGCTTTCAACACCCGCAGCACTCGCCGTTGCCGACCCCTCCTCTGGTCTGGTAGTTCCATGTAGCTCCACCACACTTCCCTGTCCGGTGGTTCCCTCAGGCTCTCTTACAGGTCTGCACAGCCCCTCGTTCTCTAGGAACTTGGTTAGTGTCAGCTGTCTTCAGGACCTCAGTGTCACCACCACGTTTTGTGGACATGAGCGGTATGCAATCTGTACTAAGGCCGCCACTGGTGCCCCTCTCACCACGTTCCCCCGGGACCCGGTGTCTGGCATGTTTACTCTGGACACCGCGTCCCCCCAGGTGGCTGTATCCCCCCAGGTGGCTGCGTCTATCCAGGTCGCTGCGGCTTGCTCGTATTGGTCGCTCACTCACCCGTCGCTTCTGTGCCACCACCGCCTAGGTAAACCCACACTCTCGCGTCTACGTCATATGTCCTAGCACGGCCTTGTCTTAGTTCTCCTTGCATCCCTCCCTGCCCTCCCTTCCTCACCCGCGCCTCCGTGCACGCCTTGCGTCGAGGGCCGGCGACGCCGTGCTCCTCACTCCTCCTCGTTTCCCCCCACCACTGCGCCACTCCAGACCCCGCACCTGGACGTCTGGAGCCCAGCCCCAATCCCTAGGCCATTTCGCGAGTGCTCCTGTCTGGTTCTCGTAGACGACTACTCGCGCTATACAACGGTGTTTCCCCTGGAGTGAAAGGCCGATGTGTGCCTCGCGTCCTTATCACGTGGCTTGTAGCTGCTCGAGTCCACCATGCCCAGCCAATGCTTCGTTTGCACTCCGACCGTGGCGGCGAGATCGTCTTTGGTCCGCTTGGCCGGTTTAGTCGTGCTGAGGGCATCACCTAGTCGTACACACTGCCAGACTCCCCACAGCAGAATGAGGTCACTAAGCGACGCATCGGTTTGGTCATGGAGGTGGCTCGTACCTCCATGATCCATGCCGGTGCACCCCATTTTCTGTGGCCGTTCGCAGTTCGCTATGCCGCACACCAGCTTAACCTGTGGCCACACTCCCAACGGCCGCAGGTTTCGCCAACCCTTCTCTGGACTGGGTCCTCTGGTGATGCGTCTGCGTTTCACGTCTGGGGCTGCCTCGCGCACGTCTGTGCCTCTGGCGCAGACAAGCTCACCGCACGTACCGTCCCTTGTGTCTTTCTTGGTTTCCTAGACGCTTTTGACTGGCACTTTTACCACCCGTCGCCTCACCGTTTCTTTCACTCGCGTAACGTCACATTTGACGAGTCTGTCTCCTTCTATACCCGCTTCCCCCACCGAGGTCTCCCGGTTACCCCATCCCTGTTCCTTGTCCCCACTCCCCCGGTAGCTCCCGATCCCCGTCTTGCCCCGCCTGGTGTGTCTCACGTCACTCCCCTTCCTTCGGTTGGCCCGACGGAGAAGTCTGCAGACTCCGGGGCCCCTGAGGCTCAGGGTGAGCTGGCTGTTTCTGCGGCGCCTGCACCCTCGGTCCCAGTGCCTCCTCCGCCGCCGCAGCAGCCACCGCAGCAGCAGCAGTTGCGCCACCATAGCAGCAGGGTTCAGCGGGCTTTGGGGGTGTTGGTACTGGGGTGCTGGTCCTGGGGGTGCTGTCGTGACGAGTCCTGGAGGTAGCCATGGTGCAGCTCGAGGTCCTGGTGTGGGCGCGGAGCAGCAGTAGAAGCAGAAGCAGTAGCCGCAGCAGTAGTTGCCGCCAGTGTCTGCCCTTTCCCTCCTCGGTCTTCCCTCCCTCGACCGACCACCCACGTCTCCCCTCGCGCCACCTCCTCCTTCTGTCTACAGCCATGTGTTCCCTCTGCCAGACTCGTCCCCGGCTCGTTTCCTGCTCGTTCTCCTCTTGAGTCTCTTCCTTTGTCTCCTGACCCTATGCCCCTCTCTCGTCGGTGGTCTCACCATCCCTCTCGTGCTTGTCCCGTTTCTCCCGCTCCAAGTGTCCAGCCTATGTCTCTCCGTTCTCACATGTCACGTGCTCCTCCCACTCCCGTTCTCCCATCGCCTCCTGAGTCGTCCCTCTCTGTCTCCTTTCCTCTTCTCTCTAACTTCCTCCGTGCTACTCGCCCTCTCGTCCCTCGTGTCCTAGGCTCTCTTATTACCGACCCGCCCGTTCCAGTCTCCAGTCTCTCGGCTCTTGTTGCTGCCATCGCTGACTTTGTCTCTACCCACCGCCTTGACTACACCATTGCTCTGGTCTCTAACCCTGCCCGTCCTCCGTCCGTCGGGCGTGCACTTGCCCTTGGCAGTGATGTCCTAGAGGACAGGCAGTACAAGCTAGCTTTTTTTTTGGAGGCCGCTCCTCATCTCTGCTCCATCCTGCTAGCCTCTGAGGGTGACCCAGACACTCTTGATATGCCCACCCCTCGCACCTACGCTGAGTCGACTTTGAGACCCTGGGCCTCTCACTGGATAGCTGCCATGGACGCAAAGATGGCATCTTGGAGATCCACTGGCACGTATGTCGACGCAGTTCCCCACCTGGGGCGAACGTAGTCGATGGATGGTTGCTCTTCAAGGTGAAGCGCCCTCCTGGAGAGCCGTCAGTGTTCAAGGCGTGATACGTTGCTAGTGGCTTCAGTCACGGTGAGGGGGTTGACTTCTTCCAGAC